CCAAAATGCACAATATAACCCTCCTCCCCCCCCCAGATCAGAGCCCGGAGCAGCAGAGGAAGAGTCCAGTCTCATACGCAGCTGATCTATGTGCAGCCGGAGAACGTGGCTGTTGCCCAAGGACACCTCGTAGGACAAAGGTCCAGACACCTTGCAGACTACAGCTGGAATCCAAAGATGACCAGGCCCGTAGTTCCGAGTCCAGACCAGAGCACCCACGCAAGCTCCTTGGTGCCCTAGGCCGCGAAGCCTGAGATGCCACCCGATCAGGGTGCAGTCTGTCTAGTTTAGTTATGAGCCTGCAGCCCCCTACTGTACTTCCCAGTAGAAGTACAAGGTGTGGTGCGATGTACAAGAAGAAAGTCTGCTAACCTGTGATGCCAGTTACCGTAAGTCAGCTTCTTGAGGGCATCCTTGATGATGCGCACCATACGCTCAGCCATTCCATTGGTGGAGGGGTGGAAAGGAGCCGAAGTTGCGTGTCAGATCAGGTTAGCCTGAAGAAAAGCCTGGAACTCAGAAGAAGTGAATTGAGGACCGTTATGAAACCAGAACATCTGGGAGGCCATGTGCAGCAAAAATGCCTCTCAACTCCTGGATTGTTCTGGCAGTAGTAATGGAGGAAACAGGAACAACCTCTAGCCACTTGGAATGGCTATCAACAACAACCAAGAAGAATTGTCCCTGAAAGGGCCCAGAGTAATCTATATGCACCCTGGACCATGGTGTTTGAGTTTCCTCCCACTATGAACTTGGGCCTGAGGCATTTCTGGCCGTGACTGCTGGCACAACTGACACCCGTGCACCTGAGCCTCGATAGCTTTATCTAGCCCCAGCCACTAAAGATGGCTGCACGCAAGCGCTTTCATCCTGATAATGCCAGGATGTCCCTCATGCAGAGAGACCAAGATTCTAGGCCTCAATGAGGCCAGGATAACTACCCTGCTACCCCATAACAGGCAACCCTTAAAAGTGGATAACTCATGCTTCTTGAGCAAGAAGCTTTGGAACTCATTACCTGGACTCCTGTCTGGCCAACCTGACAGTACCCATGACAACACACGTGTAAGAGTGTGGTCGGTGGCGGTTTCAGCAGCCACATCCCTGGCATTGAGAGGAGATTCAGGCAACTCCTGATTAGAGAGAATATTGATGGCAGGAACAGGATCAGGTTCTACTATTTTGAGAGGTAGCCCATTTCCTTACCCAGTTTGTGAACTACAGTATAATCATATGCTGACAGGAAAATGGACCACCTCAGCATTCTAGGGGATATAATATGAGGGGTTTGTTTGTTAGTTGTAAACAACCACAACAGAGGCTTATGGTCAGTGTAGACCGTAAAATGAATATAATAATAATATAATATAATACTCATGAAATTTCTTAATGCCAGCCACTATGGCCAGTGCTTCCCTGTCTATTTGAGCGTAATTACGCTCAGCAGAAGACAGAGTCCTAGAGTGATATGCCACAGGAACCTGTGTCCCATCAGCCCTCAAGTGGCTAAGTATAGCTCCCACCCCATAAGGAGCTGCATCGCAGGCAATGCAGACAGGCAATTGTTCATTGAAATGTGCAAGCACAGCATTAGACGTTAGCAAGGCCTTGACCTCATTGAAGCTCTTTTCGTGGACTTTTGTCCACTGCCAAAATGCCTGCTTGTCTAAAAGCCTATGTAGTGGTTCTGCTACTGCAGCTTTGTGAGGGAGAAAAGTGTTGTAAAAATTCAAGAGGCCCAGAAAAGCTGCAGCTCGCTTTTAGACTTGGGGCTTGGAGCCTGCTGTATAGCCTTCAACTTAGATTCAGCAAGGTGAATACCTTGAGCATCTATCCTGAATCCTAAAAAATGAGTAGACGTGACTCCAATCTTACACTTATCCTTCTTCAACTTAAGGCCTGCTCTTCAAAAACGGAGCAAGACAGCCCTTAACCTCTCTGCTAAGTTCTGAGATGACTCTCCAGCAATAAGGATATCATCAAAATAGGGGCAGACTCCAGGGATACCCCTAAGTGTGCTCTCCATGACACTTTGGAATATGCCAGGGGCTACATTTACCTCAAATTGCACTCTCTTGACCTTGAATGCACCCCTATGCGTTACAATGGTCTGTGCCTCAGCAGCTGCTTCATCAACAGGTAGTTGATATGCCTGTGCCAGATCTAGCTTTGCAAAAACTCGCTCCCCTTTGAGAGAGGCCAAGATATGGCTGACTGGTACTGGGTACGCATGCTGTTGCAGCGCCTTGTTTAGTGTGCACTTGTAATCTGCACATATGCGTATGTCTCTGTTAGCCTTGAGAGGCGTTACTATGGGGGTTTCCCATGGACTTGAATCTACAGGTTCTAAAATGCCTTGCTGGATCAATTTATCCAGCTCAGAATCAATCTTGCCCTTAAGTGCGAAGGGTACTCTTCTAGCCTTAACCCTGATGGGTGTGATGGTTGGATCTAACCTCAATGAAACTGGAGGCCCCTTGTAGGACCCAAGCTGTGGACTAAACACATCTGCAAACTCTTCACAGACTTCTGCTAGGCTCAGTGTTTGCAAATGTTGTAGCCCAGTAACCTGGATTCCCAAGGCCTCAAACCAATCGAGTCCTATAAGACTCGTTCATTCACCCCCAACAACCAACACATCTAATGGACCCTCAAACTCCTTGTGTTGCACTGTAAGGGTGGCCTCCCCCTTTACACTCACCTTGGAATTTTGAAAATCTGTTAGTATTATGTTGGATGGCCTTAGTTTAGCTTGAAAACCACTGCTGTTGCAAATCTTTCTAAATGTATGAATGCAAATAATGGAAAGAGCGGACCCAGTGTCCAGCTCCATGGCTACAGGAACCCCTTGCAACCTAACCTTAAGTTTTTTTCTTGAGGGGTTTGTGTGTACCTGTTCTGCAAATACTCCTGCGTGATGCACAGAAACCCACCCTATTTTGGCTGGGGACCCTGGTGCCTTTCAGATGCAATTCGTCTCGGAGTTGTACCTTCTGGCGACCCAAACAGATGGATGCTATGTGGCCTTGCCTGCCACACGCTCTGCAGATGGCGGAACGGAACCTGCAGTCGGCTCTCCTATGGCGTCCTCCTCACCCGAAGCATTTGAGCCTCAGGATTGTTTCTGATGGGCCGCATGTTCTTGACTGCCCCACCTGCTGCTTCCTCAGCTGTCACCTCTTGTAGAGCATTTTGGAACGAGATATCTTCCTTTGCAAAGATCCTCTGTTGTAAGTCCCTGTTCCTTAGACCACATACAAAATGGTCTCTCAGCCTTTCTTCAAGATCTTTGAACTCACATGGTTTGGCTGCTCTTCTCAAGGCCGCAATAAACTCCCTGGCTGATTCACCTGCCCTCTGGTCCCTCTGTTCAAACGTGTGTCTCCACGCAATAACAGACATCTTGGTCTGGAAATGTTCTTTCAATAGCTTTTTTGTGTACATTACAGACTCCAGAGAAGCAGGGGCCACTAGATTTTCCACAATTTCAAACGCGTCCTGACCACAGACACACAACAGAGTTGCAGCCTTCAAGCTGTCTTCTCTGACCTGGTTTACTCTGAAGTAGTTTTCTACTCTTGCAACATAAGATTCCCATCTCTCTGGGTGTGAAACATCAAATTCAGATAAGCGACCTATCTTCGCCATCCTTGCTTCTTCTTCTCGGGAAGGAGTCAATCAGCCGAGCTTACCTCCAGCGACACTGTACTGGCAGGCTAGAACACTGAATTTAACGCCGTCTTCCCTTCTTCAGGACTCCTTGGGTAAGTCTTACAGCTTTTCTTTTTCCAAGCTTGCAAGCATCCCACCTTCATCGCCAGTGTTAAGTCCTTCATTTGATGGCGAATGAAGATCACACATGGTTGAATCAACAGCTCTTTATTTCTCCTTCTGCTCACTACAACAGCAACAGTGAGACTCGCAGGTCTCCACTTTTGTGTCCGGATCCTCAGGCAAAAAGGCTACAGTAAATGGCACGCTTTCGCGCCTCTCAGTCTGGTCCCAGGCAGCTTACAGCAACCCCAGGACCATAGCAATGTCCCGAGCCTGCTTTTGCAGGCTCAGGACACAACAATTCCCATCTCTCTGGGTGTGAGATATCAAAGTCAGATAAGCGACCAATCTTCGCCATCCTGTAATTCCTAACCTTCACCACTCAGTTCTCTGAAACTTGTATTGGGGAAGGGGTCTTTCAGCCGAACTCACCCTCCAGTGATGCTGTAACTGGCAGGCTGGAATGCTGATTCCAACGCCATCTTCCCCTCTTCAGGACTTCCTGGGTAAGTCTTACAGTTTTTCTTTTTCCAAGCTTGCAAGTATCCCACCTTCATCGCCAGTGTTAAGTCCTTCGTTTGATGGCGAATGAAGATCACACATGGTTGAATCAACAGCTCTTTATTTCTCCTTCTGCTCACTACAACAGCAACAGTGAGACTCGCAGGTCTCCACTTTTGTGTCCGGATCCCCAGGCAAAAAGGCTACAGTAAATGGCATGCTTTCGCGCCTCTCAGTCTGGTCCCGGGCAGCTTACAGCAACCCCAGGACCATAGCAATGTCCCGAGCCTGCTTTTGCAGGCTCAGGACACAACAATTCCCATCTCTCTGGGTGTGAGATATCAAAGTCAGATAAGTGACCAATCTTCGCCATCCTGTAATTCCTAACCTTCACCACTCACTTCTCTGAAATTTGTATTGGGGAAGGGGTCTTTCAGCCGAACTCACCCTCCAGCGATGCTGTACTGGCAGGCTGGAATGCTGATTCCAACGCTGTCTTCCCCTCTTCAGGACTTCCTGGGTAAGTCTTTACAGCTTCTTATCTTCAGCCTGTAAATCATCCCACCTTCATCGCCAGTGTTAAGACCTTCGTTCAAGGGCGAATAATGAATACACATGCTTTCGTTAACAACTCTTTATTCTTCTAGTAACAGCAACACCAACAACCCAAAGGCACGCAGGCCTCTCCTTTTTAAACATTCAGAGACCCGGACTAATGGCAACAAGTAAGTTAGTGTTTGTGTGGGATTGACTTTGAGTTAGTTTTCGACTCCTGGCAACTGCCTGGACTAGTCCCTGCAGTTTTACGGACAAGATTTGAGAAGCGTTTTGCCAATGTCTCCTTCCTAGGGCTAAGAGAGAGTGACTGGCCCAAAGTCATTCACCTGGCTTTATGTCTAAGGCAAAACTAGAATCCAGGATCTCTAGACCAATCCCTTAATCTCTGCACCTAACTGGCTCTCAGTAGCATCCCTGAAATTCCTACCATGCCTGTTCCTTGACCTGTCCACCCTGAAGGGCTTGCAGCATGTACCAAATCATAGAAATAATATTTTGTTTGGATTTCTGCTGTTGAATCATTGAATTGGTGGGAAGGCATAAAGTCTGACAAAAAAAACAGCAATAATTTTTCATGCTACCTACTTTGCTAGGGTCTTGACAGCTCGATCCAACATGTGAAAAGGTAGAAAAATCATTTCCAAACAGGACCATTCATATTATAAGGTTTTGCATTTTTTAAAACAAAATATTTCCATACAGAGAATTGACAATGCTCTGAAGAAACATTATCTGCTCTAGACTGCATGCATTACCATTTTATCCAGGGTTAAACACAATTTAATAGACACACATGTAAGCACATCTGCCTTGTTTGGAAAGCTTATAAAAGTTACAGCAGCCTAGACAAGAAAACAAAGGTTGAGGATTTGTTTTTGAGTTCTATGTCCTGGGGACAAAGTATTCACTTAATGTCCATGGAGTTTGCTTAACAACTACAGTGATTTACTTAAAGATCACTGCAAAAAAAGTTGCAAAATCAAATGTTGATGACCCGCTTAACAACCAGCATGATTTATAATCATAATTCTGGCCTTAATTATGATCGTAAGTCGAGGACAGCCTATATTTGCCATTGCTACTACAGCTAAGGCTGAAATAACTGTATTATATTACTTTGTTGTTGTTGTTTTGGTGCCTGAGTCAGTGTTGACTCTTGGAAACTGCCTGGACAAGTTTCAGAAGTTTTGTTGGCAAGATTTCAGAAGTGGAGCTTGCCATTGACTCCGTCATATGGCTGAGAGGGACTAGTTAAAAAAAAAAGTCAACAACATAAACCAACATTTTTAAGATAAGACAGTGAATAATCATGCTTGATAAAACTTAGTTTGGATGATAATTCTTTAGGTCAATAGCCCAAAACCTAAACAATCTTCCAGGTGAAATCAGAACACTAGGCCTTCTTCAAACCACACCTTTGTAACCTGATTTAATTCCAAAGCCATTAAGTGAGAAATTGCAGTCCATGGAAGAACATTTCTGGTTTGTGTACTCAGTTCTTAGAAAGGAGGATCAGAGGGGGAGACAGAGAAGGATTAACATCTCAGCTAGTTCAGCTGATTCATGATTGTCTGACTGCAGCCAATGAGGTCAAAACAACAATTAAAGTCCCCAACCAGCAGAATCAAGCATATGACATCTGTGATACCTCTAAGAGCTATCCACAGAACAGCAAAATGAAAATAGTCACAAACAAGATACATTAAATAAAATGGCCCAAATCTCAGGAATTCACTAAATCAGGGGTGTCCAGCCTTAGCAACGTTAAGACTTGTAGACTTCAGTTCCCAGATTCTGGGAATTGAAGCCCACAGAACTTAAAGTTGCATGGTTGGACACCCCGGTGCTAAATCACACAAGATTTCAAATTTATGTGCAAGATCCTAGGCCAGAAGGCAAAATACTGTTGAGATTTCAGTGTTCTTATGCAAAAATCATAGGAACTGCATTGCTAAAATCTCAAGAACTCTGGTATTTTATGGATCCATTTAATTATTTATAGTGCCTGGCACCTAAAAAAATTACCAACATCTCCTAATCCACCCCAGAGAACTTCCAGAACCTTTGTGCATAAGAGGTTAAAGTCTATGACTGGGAGCAGGGTCCAAAATCAAGATGGCTAGAAGCAGTTTTTAAAGTGGATTATTTTCTGAAATGCCTGCTTGAAATCTTCATTAAAGATAGTATATATAATGGGGTTAATCAGTGAGTTCAGATAACCCAACCAGGTGAAAACATCCATCAGGATATGAAGAGGCCAACAGGCTCCTTGGCAAATAGGGTTGACCAAGGACACCACAAAGAATGGCAGCCAGCAAAAAATGAACGCACCCAAAATAATCCCGAGGGTCTTGGTAGCTTTCCTTTCTCGCGCAGCCAAAATCCTCTTTCTTTCAAGGATGGAATCGGCTAACTTGATCCTCACATGATTGATAACCACCGGTGAGCTCTGCGGATGGGAAGGTTCCTCATGAAGATTAGAGGTAACGGAGCAGAGAGAAGAACTCGCAGAGCCCGTGATCAGCTGGGCTGTGGTGAAACGCTTCCCGTACAGAGATGGTGGCTTAAGAATTCGGGATCGAGCGGTGATGTAAATCCTGCCATACAAGATGACCAGCAACACAGTTGGGATGTAAAAGGCACCACAGGTAGAATAGATGGTGTAGGAGATTTGATCTGTGTTGACTGCGCAAGTGGCCAGCTCCTCGTGAGCCTTGGCTTGTCTCCAGAAAAGGGGAGGGATAGAGATGCAGATGGAGAGAACCCAAACTATAGCAATCATGATGGCAGCCCGGCAAGCTGTCCGACGTTTGGTGTATTCGAGAGCATCCGTGATGGCCCAATATCTGTCCAAGGCGATGATACACAGATGCAGGATGGAGGCTGTGCAGCAGGTGATGTCCGAGGACAACCAGATATCACATATGACTTGGCCAAAGGTCCACAGGTGAGTGGCCGTGTACACGATGCTGATTGGCATGACCAGAATGGACACAAGAAGGTCTGTGGTAGCCAGGGAGCCAATGAGATAATTGGCAGGAGTGTGGAGTTTTCTGGTTAAGATAATTGTGATGATGACAAATGTGTTGAAGAGTATAGTGGCCAACGTGATCAGAATCAGAGCTGCTGCCAGCAAAACCTTGAGGCTTAACAACGTCCCTTCGTCCCAGTCCTCTATCATGTCACTGGCATTGAGAGATTTGTTAGCCGCACTTTGGAAAGTCAAGTCTGGAGACACATTGTACAAGTTCATTCTCAGCTGTGCTGGGTTTTCTTTGTCTCCTTTGCTTTTAAAATCATTGCATTTCTCAACTCTTGTTAAAAACAGGCTTTGTGGACAAAATCATCAAGGGCTGGGGTAAGAAGAGGCTGCTGTTAAACAGAAATCAAAATCACAACAAAAACATTAGCTGAGCCTGAAGAACAGAAAGTTCTGTCAACTCTAGAGAAGATGCATTCACAAGTAAAAAGAGAAGACTACAATTTTCAGCCACATTTATGGACTTACAGCCATAAACAGAGAAACAAGGTTTATTTCAAAGCAAGACCTAAACTGGACTACTTGAGAGTCTAAACCCATCAAGAAGCTAGCTGAGAGCTTCTGTGTTATGCACTTAAATGGATTTAAATTTAAAATATTTTTTATACTTTTGTCACTGTTTTTCTTCTTTTCTTTTTGCTTTACATGCTTTTATTCTGTAATTCTTTTCAATAAAAATATTTTTAAAAAATCTGGGAAACCATCTGAATATACAGGATTCCCAAGAAATCAGATTTTCTAAAGAGGACAGCTTGGCTTTTTTACACTGTTAGAGATACAAAAATATTCTGAAAAATAATCTTCTCCTTAAACATATTACTGTATGGGATTTCTGTAATCGTTATTTTGAAGTCAGAATAAGATTCTATGCATTGTGCAAGCTATGTCCAATATTCTTTTGAAGTCTAAATAAGTTAAGGAAAATGACCAAAAGATTAAAACAAGAATAATATATTTTACCTGTTCTTAGAACTGCAGACAGACACTGGCTAAATTAAATGTCTGGAATAAAACACAACAGATTAGACACATATTTCAAAGCCCCAGTAAAGGACAGCAAAAAAATGGTCAATTTCTTGCATGCAGCCCTTACCTCTTCAATCAACTGTACCAGGGTAAAAAGGAGCAAAAATGAAATATAATCTCTCTGCCTGGTGGTACAAACTCCTGTCAACCCAAGGACTACAGATAGGCTTCTGTCAAAGAGCCCACAACTCCAAAATAGGTGGAGCCTGGAATTTGGAGATAGGGGGAATAAAATGACCCAGGCATCATTTTTGCTCTTTAAACCTGGTTGACTTAAATAAAAATGTAAAAAGGGGAGGAAGATATGTTTGGCTCCACCCATTCTGAGATTATCCACTCACTCTGCAAACCACAAAACAGGATGCTATAGGGCCTCATATAATGTTTATTGGGACATCCAAAAAGATAGCAAGATAGCAAGTCATGGGACTGAAGCTCACTTCCTTTTTATGGGCATTGTGCTGAATGGCAGCCAACTAAAGGCTTGCAATTTTGACTTCTTTGTAATTAAAACAACTTTATTGCAGAATTTATTTTGTCATCCGATGCCATCTTTTAAACTGAGTAATTCTGCTCAAAGTTCCAGCCTCAAGTATTTTTACGTTCTATAGACACATATAAGGAGAAAGAATGCGGTTTCCAAATTTTCTCAAGGTTAAAGGCTACCCATTAAATGGTTTTTCCCAGGCCTTGGCTCTTCTTCAGAATGTCCTCTTGGTTTTCAGAGTCCAGTTAGGCATTCCTCAAGTTATGCAACAGGATGAAGGAGCAAATTAAGTCAATTGAACCTAAATCCAGGAAGAGAAATCATTGTCTAGATATTTTGTCAACCGTGTAAATATGTTTCCATTTTTGTTCACATTTAGCGTAACTGACTCAGGAGTGTGTAGGGAAAGTCTACAAAGACCTCCATTTTTACAGATCAACTTTTAAAGAAATATCTTTTAAAAAAAGAAATTATATGCCCAGAATCCCTTCCCCATAGGGCCAATGGCTGCTGGGAGTTATAGTTTATTATTAACAGGAAGACTGGATTTTCTTAGTCCTACATAAGGCTTCTGTTGAGTCCTTGGCGCAAAGCAGACACGAGAAGCAGTTGGAGTTCTCAGTTTTCTTTATTCTGCGTTCAGCTTACAAGTAGATGGCTTTCCTTAAGCTTCCCAAACGCTCGCAGCCTCTTATATAGGCAACTCCCAGGTAAATGTGTTACTTTTCCTGCGCCAGCACCCGCACATGCGCACAGCGCTGGCGACAGCCTGTCTGGTCCCGGGCAGCCTTGCACCTGCCCGGGACTGCCTGCAAACGCCCGAGCCGTTTGCAAGGCTCGGGACATAACACCCCTTTCCCCCGGGCTGAAACTACTACCAACATATAATCATTTGTTCTATACAGCATTCCGCTCCCCAGTGCTTCCACTGTTTGCTGGCTTTTGCCTTGCCAGCAATGTTATATAATCCTCTAGGTACTTAGGAGATTTCTTTGCTCTCTGTGACCTTCTCAGCTCTGGTTTATTAGCAGGAGTTCCCTGACTGGAGGGAGATGTGAGCCTGTTCTCCTTATTTTGTCTTGGTGCCTTCCAAGGGCTGTGCCCTGATGCCTGGCCTGCTTGCTCGCCCACCGGGCTCGTCAGGCCAGGGCTTCTGTCACTTTGTGACCTGGTTGACCTGCCTAGCTGTAGACCCTCGGGCCCCCTGAAGTGATAGCCACTGCTGGGCGTCTCTGTTGAACCTCCTAGGTCCGTCCAAGACCTGTCAGGAGGCTGTCCATTCCCTGAAACCCGTTCTGTGTCCGGGCTTGTGTGGGTTTCTGTACCTTCCCAAAACTCAGTTACTCCCTGATTTGGGCTAGAGGTGTTGTAGTCGGGACTTGGTTCCTCGACCACCTCCCTGTATGTTTGACCCCCTGTAGGATTTGGGGTAAGGTCAGGCCAACTTGGGGATTGTGTGCCAGCTCTCTTGCGGGAAATGATTTGTTGGGATGCCCCCGGGTATCCTCCGTGACTGGAGTGCTGTGTGATGTGTGTGGAAAGTGAGTATGCCCCCGGGGTGACTCCCTGGCTGGAGTAGGCGTGGATGCCTGGTAGTTGGGTAGGCTCATAGAATTCTTGTTCGGAACTCTCGCGGAACCCTGGAATGGGCCGTTTGTGGCTCCATCAGTGGAGATGGGCAGCAGCTCGTGCCCTTCCCTTTGCTCCAAAGGGTCCCCCTCCCCCCCCTGGAAAAGACCCAGGAGTCTCAGCTGGAAGATGCCGCCTAGGGCGGAGTTGGTCGATGTGCCTGCGCAGGACACGACCGTTGTCCAGGGCTACCTCGTAGGATAGAGGACCCGTGACCCTGGAGACAGAAGCAGGGACCCATGTATGACCAGGCCCGTAATTGCGAGTCCAGACCGGGGCACCCTCAAGTAGTTGTCTAGGTGCCCTAGGATGTGAGGTAGATGAAGGCAATCGGTCCGGATGCAACCGGTCAAGTTTAGTAGTAAGTTGACGCCCCCAACGAAGTTCAGCTGGGCTTCTCCCTGTAGAAGTGGACGTTGTGGTGCGATAAGAAAGGAGAAAGTCAGCCAACCTGTGATGCCAGTCCCCATAGGTGAGTCTTTTCAAGGCGTCCTTTGTGATGCGGACCATGCATTCAGCCATACCGTTGGTGGACGGGTGGAAGGGTGCAGACGTGGCATGACGAATCATGTTAGCCTGTAAGAAAGCTTGGAATTCGGAGGAAGTGAATTGAGGGCTGTTGTCGGACACAATGACATCTGGCAGCCCGTGTGCAGCAAAAATCCCCCTCAGTACCTGAATAGTCTTTGCAGTGGTGGTGGATGAGACAGGTACAACCTCAAGCCATTTCGAGTGGCTGTCAACAAGGACCACGAAGAACTGGCCCTGAAAGGGCCCAGCGTAGTCAATGTGCACCCTAGACCATGGGGACTGTGTTTCCTCCCATCTGTGCACGGGAGCTTGGGGCATCTCTGGGCGAGATCGTTGGCACAGGTGGCATGCATGCACCTTAGCCTCAATATTTTTATCTAAACAAGGCCACCATAAGTGGCTGCGTGCAAGAGCCTTCATACGAACAATGCCAGGATGACCCTCGTGGAGGGATTCCAAGACCCTAGTCCTCATTGAGGTGGGAAGGACAACTCTGTTTCCCCAAAGCAAACAACCCTGAGAAAGGGACAGCTCGTTCCTTTTGGACCAGAAACTCTGAAACTCAGGACTAGGGCAGTCCTCAGGCCAACCAGACAAAACCCAGGAATGGACACGTGAAAGTGTGTGATCTGTACCTGTTTCAGCAGCAACATCCCTGGCACTAAGAGGGAGCTCGGGCAAGGCTTGGATTGATAGAATGTTGACAGCTGGCGCAGGGTCAGCTTCCACTGTTGGCAGAGGCAGTCTACTGAGGCCATCAGCATGGCCCATATCTTTCCCAGGCTTGTGGAGTAAAGAAAAATCATATGCAGACAAAAAAATATACCACCTAAGCATTCTAGGGGAAATGATTTGGGGAGTCTGCTTACGTGTGGTAAACAGTCCCAGCAGAGGCTTATGGTCAGTGAAGACCGTGAACTGCCTGCCATATAGAAAATCATGGAATTTTTTAATTCCCGCAACAACAGCCAGAGCCTCCCTGTCTATCGGAGCGTAGTTGCACTCGGCAGAAGACAATGTTCTTGAATAATATGCAACAGGAACCTGAGTTCCATCAGACCTGAGGTGGCTCAGGACAGCCCCAACCCCGTAAGGGGACGCATCACACGCGATGCACACAGGAAGAGACTCGTTAAAATGTGCAAGTACACTGTTAGAAGTGAGCAAGGCCTTGACTTCGTTAAAGCAGGCCTCATGCGTCTGTGACCACCGCCACACAGCTTGCTTGTCTAGTAGCCTGTGAAGAGGCTCAGCTACACTAGCTTTATGTGGAAGAAAAGAATTGTAAAAATTAAGGAGGCCCAGGAAGGCCTGAAGTTCGGCCTTAGACTTTGGCCTAGGTGCTTCTAAAATGGCAGTTAGTTTGGATTCAGCAGGGTGAATCCCAGCAGCATCAATTGTGAATCCCAGAAATTCAGTAGAAGGCACCCCAATTTTGCATTTGTCTTTTTTGAGCTTGAGGCCTGTTTTCCTGAACCTTAACAGAACAGCCCTTAGCCTTTCAGCTAGAATGTGTGTGGAGTCTCCTGCAATTAAGACATCATCAAAGTAGGGGCAAACCCTCGGCATGCCCCGCAGTGTGTTTTCCATTACGCTTTGGAAAATCCCAGGAGCGACATTCACTCCAAACTGCAGCCTTTTTACCTTAAAGGCTCCCCTGTGGGTCACAATAGTCTGAGCTATAGCAGCAGCATCATCAACAGGCAGCTGTTGATACGCTTGAGCTAGGTCAAGCTTTGCAAAAACGCACCCCCCCCCCTTGAGGGAGGCCAGAATATGACTGACCACAGGAACAGGATAGGCATGTTGCTGCAATGCCTTATTAAGAGTGCATTTGTAGTCAGCACAAATGCAAATGTCCCCATTTGCCTTTAGAGGCGTGACAATGGGGGTCTCCCAAGGACTGGAATCAACAGGTTCTAGGATTCCCTGTTGAATCAGTTTGTCTAACTCAGTGTCAATTTTACTCTTTAAAGCAAAAGGGACCCTTCTTGCTTTAATTCTAATGGGAGTGACAGTGGGGTCTAGCTTTAGGGACACAGGGGGTCCTTTGAATGTGCCCAGCTGGGGGCTGAAAACATCTGCAAATTCTTTGCAGACTTCCTGTAGGTCGAGTGTTTGTAAACTGTTGAGTCCTGTGACGTGTATCCCCAGGGCCTAAAACCAATCGAGTCCTATGAGACTCGTTCGTTCACCCCCTACTACTAATACGTCTAGTGGACCTTCAAAACTCTTGTATTGCACGTTAAGGGTGGCCTCCCCTTTAACACACACTCTTGAATTTTGAAAATCTGTTAACACAATGTCAGAAGGCCTTAACTTGGCCTGA